ACATTTACGCCACTGAAAGCCTGTCTCAAAACTTTGGCCTTACAGATATTTTGACCTATATTGTGTCCAACTCATCAAACAAATTTCATGATCTTAGTGTAGTGTGGAAGTCTAATGATTTTTCAGCACTACAATATATGGTACACAGTTCAGTACTCTAATTTTCAATACTGTAACACAGGCAGAGGCAGAACCAGAACCAATAGAAATGCTCATTATTAGCTTGCTCACACTTACAGAGGCTGAGCCTATGCTTGGTGGCTAGCCTAACTGCTTGGGGAAACTTGCAGGATTCCACAAACTCCCTGTACATGGTAACAAACAATAATGGTCAAATCTTGCTTAGTAGACATATAAACAAACTTAGTAGTGCATACTGTTAACAATAACAGTTGGCAATTATGGCAAAATAGACAAGTAACTGGAGAACTAGAGAAGTCAAAAGGGGTACATGACAGACACCTGGTTGAATAATTAAAACTGAACCTAATGATTTCACAGATTTTAGTGACATTTTCCAATTTAAGTGACCAAATTCTCATTAACCAGTAATATTAGAAGATACATCTGTAAATATATTTTAAATATTTTATGCAACTATTCACACTTTGTATGCTGGTGTCAGACTAAGTGAGTATTTTAAAGAGAATTAGTTAAATATATATGTTTTACAAAATGTAGTATTTTGATATTTTATCTCATCACTAGGCTGCAAGTGTAAGCCATCATTTACTGATGCCATAGGGGTCCCTTATTCCCTTGCCTTGTATGGGTTAATGATGGGGCCAAGGTGGGCTACAAGTGGGGCCTTTATGGGCAGGATGGCCAGATAAGGACCATGCAGGACCCACACATAGACAGGAACGGGCAGCTTAAGTGGGGCCTGCAGCTGTAACCCAACTGGTGCCCACAACTGTAACTCAACGCATGCCCAGTTAAAACCCACATGGGGCCCACATGGACATGTTAAGTGGAAAGCATACTAATTTGATTTGAATGGACAGACATAAGTGTTCAATCCAATATGCATCGAGTGTTCAGATGACAAATGACAATATTTTGCCATAGCATCGTTTTGGTTTTGCGCAGTGATACTGCACTTGGTATTGTGACAACCCTAAAAGAGTCAGTGTACAGTTTCTTGAATGCTTAAAAGAATATCCATCAGTGATGGTCACTTGTCCACTCGCACAAGCCTCTGTCTCTCAAAGTGTGCATCCCTGCAAGGTTCAGTGCTTTCCCTGCTCTAACACACCTCACTCAGTGTTTCAGATGGAAAAGCCTTTTTTAAACCAAATCAGGCAAGTTAGACATTAACAGTGAACAGTCTTCCCTCCAGCCCTGAGACAGAGACCTATTGAGCGGTCTCACGTGCTATTTATATCTAGCTCACTGCATTTACGTATGTAAAAGCTACTGAGCTGCCACTCCACTCAGCAAGTCTATTCGAGCTGGAAGGACAAAGCAATGCTGCAGAATCTTTCTCTGCTCTGCGCACTCCCACGCTAGCAGTGAACAAGAACAGATCCAGAGCTGAACGCTTGAAGCATTTAGTCATTGCAGGCAAACACAGGAGATGATTCCTTAGAGTGTTTTGTGGATTTAGCTATAACTGACCATCAGTAGCCAACATAAGGGACAGACCATATTCATGTGGGACATAAATGTCACAGACACTCTTTTATTCAGTTTCCACCAAGAAAATGACTTTTAAAATTCAGTGAGCTTATTTACAGCATGTCATTTGGCTCTTTTAGAAATGATTCACTAGTAAGCATCATCTGAAATTGGAATAAAGAGTTTCTTTCAAAAAAGTGTGCCCACTACTAAACCGGCCCAATCCACATTCAACGCAAAGTACACACTTTAAAAGATGGTTCTGCAAGGTTTCTTCAGTGAAGGCAATGGTTCTATTTAGAACCATTTTATGCTTAAATGGTTCTTCAGATTAATGGGCAAAATGGGTTCCATATAGAACCTTTTTGAAAAAGGGTTCTGCTATTGTTAAGGTGTCAAGCTTGTAACAGTAGAATGCCATTTAGAACCATTTTCAAAATGATCAAAGGGTTCTTTGCATCACGAAAGGGTTCTTCACATTGATGGTGGATGTGCTGCAGATAGTTCCATATGGAACATTTTTGAAAAGCGTTCTACATAGCACCCAAATGGGTTCTGCTATTATTAACATGTCAAGTTTATAACAATAGAATGCTATACAGAACCAGTTATATCTAGAACCAGATACAACATATTCCCCATCAATCTGGAAAACCATTCCACCACGCAAAGAACCATAAGCATGGCAATGTTCTAAACAGAACACATGGTTCTCAATAGAACCATTGCCTTTACTAAAGAACCATCTTTTTCAAGTCTGTAGCAAAGTGACCAGAACCATATGGGGCATTTTTTCCTCCAGATAAACAGACACAAACAGAGATTACACCCCTGCGGTCACTCCTGCTGGAGCTGCCTGCGTCCCACGCTCCTCATAACTTTGCACAAACGGACCTCTGACTGCACTCAATTCAACGCAGCTATGTGATTAGGAAGGCTCGTGCTTACCCGTGGTGGCCCGCGCGCAGCCGTGCAGCAGCAGTAGCAGCAGCAGTGGAGGGGCTCCGGGGCTCCAGCAGCAGCGGCCGAACCCGGCTGGCTCCCCCCGCGCCCTCCTCACTCCGCCCGCCATGCGCGCTCCGCTCTCCGCTCACTCATGCTCTGCAGCAGCAGCAGCGAAAGAAAGAGGGTCCGAGCAGCACTGCAGCAACTGGACACGGCAAAGGGGCTTCAGCAGACCCTGATCAGCTCTGCGTCCTCATCACTGCTCTTGACACGCACACCGAGTTACTTTACACAGTCCTGCTTGGGATCTGACTTATTTTAACGCAGAGCGTTGAGAAATCAAGCAGCCTGTCTAACGTAACGCAATATGAGCATAAGAGCAGAGACCCGGCTCGTCTCTGCACCTGTGCTATTTAACAGAGAACCTGCGACCCCTTGTGGAGATCTTAGCAAACTGCATGCAAACTGCATCCTACATTGCAGGTCAGTGACAGAGTGGCATTAGAGCACGTTTTTTTTTCTGCTGCTGCCTGTAATAAGAGTGATTTAAGAACTGAGTTTAAACTCATTATTGTAGAGTCCACCAATTTAATTCTAAATTAAATTACTGATTTGACTTAACAAAGATCAACATAGATCTGTATTTATAAACGGTTTCATTTTCAATTTCTTGTTTTACTCTTTTAATATTCTCACACTTTGGCGATACATCTGTGCCAGGTGTTACCTATAGGGGTATAATGCCCACCAGCACTGGAACTATGTTCTCTGGAGTAACTGAGCTCCATCCAATACCTTTAGGATGAGTTGGAGTGATCCAGAATGAATCATCAACATCAGTAGCTGACCTCACTAGTGCTCTTGCTGAATGCAAGCAAACCCTCACAGAAATGTTCCAACATCTAGTGTAAAGCCTTGTCAGAGGAGTAGAGGCTGTTACTGCAGTAAGTGGGGGACAAGCTCCCTATTAAAAGGGAACTGTATTGATTTTTAATCATAATAGAGTTAAGATGTAAACAGTCATTCAGAGTCTTTTAGTACATGTTTAGAGTTTAATGCTTTTAAAAGCTACTTCACAAAGTTATGTGATTAGAAATGCTCTACCTGATGCCTGAGGCTCTGTTTAATGATAGTTTGGAGATAAAGTTTTGTCCTAAAGCATATTATAAAACCCAATGTGAGGTAAAATAGCACCTAAAGAAAACCTTCCAATTTACCAGTTACACCATCATCAGCATTACATATGACAATTTCTGTAGGTTCTGGTCATCTTGGATAATAAATGTCTATTTGAGGGAGACATCACAACCACTGCAAATAATTTAGTTGCAAGTTTCTGTACAATGAACCATTCACCTCAAACCACCCTGAATGACATGATCTCAATGACTGTATTATGCATACGGTTTTTGGAGAAAATCTCCTTTAACTTCTTTAAATGGCCAGGTCCCACTGACCGGCCCAAAGTTTCATTACATACTTCTATACCCTAAGAACAGGTCAGCCAGTTTGCACTGAAGTCCCTGAAGTCACTAAACCATAATACACCTTTGATTTCTGAAAAAACCTGAGCAGACATGTACATTGTATATAAATGAATAGCCTATTTTTAAACACATTAAAATGTTTAATCTTTTTTCTCTTAATATTTTCAAACTTTGCATACCGTGGCAAATCAAATCATTGCTGTCCAAAGAAAACCATGTATCTCCATTTTTGTTGATTTTTATTTATTCTACATCATTTCAATACACCAGCTGTCCTTTATGTTGTGTGTACATTTCATGATGAATGGACCAATAGAAATGCTCTAAAATCACTTGGAATAAAATCTCTTTACATAAACTTACATTGAAAGGTACAAGAGTTTTGCCTTCTCCTGTAAAGTTACTATTTTGGAGATAGTTGTTTTTCTTTGTAGGATTATTTTCTCTAGTCAATAAAGCACCTGAAATCGAGGAAGTGAGGGAGCAAAGACAGATATAGCTTGCCTAGTGTAATGCAACTTTCTGAGAAGACTAGACCAGTCTTTGCTTAATCTCTAGCAGAGAATTAGTGATCTGTTATGGAAAACATATAATAGCAAATAACATCTAGACTGCAGGTTAGTCGGCAAATGGCATTCATGTCTAAAAAACAGCATTAAAACAATCAACTGAGGCACCATTAATGTGTAGAGATGTCTGATTCTAACTTAGAAGAGCAGAGACCTTGTTCTCTCCAGTCTCATTCCACAGTGTGTAAATGAAATTAATTATATATTTACATGACTGAAATAATTTACTTTTAAGAGTAACCCTATAAACTGCTCTTGTAAACCTATTTAAACTATGCTTTTAGAAACGTACCTCTTCACACATGAAAATGGGAGACTGGCATGACAAAAGCAAGTCAGTAATGCTGTCCAGTCGACATGTGGTCAGTAAAACACAAGCTTATAAGAGACTGCAGCAATAGATTTTTTTAATTCAAAGTGAATCTTGACAATACACCATAAATTCTTATTTTGACACTCACCAAAATAGTCACCTGGAAAACCCGCTTAATGTGACAAAGTTGAGAAGGCTTGGTCACATCTAAATCACTGAGAACTAGAGAGGATACACTATCGCAAACTGTAAAGACATTACATCAGAGGGTTACATTTTCCCAGTCCTCATACTGTCAAATATTGCACAGTGCAGTTGCTACATGGCAAAACTAGTGTAGCATCAAATCAAAGAAGCAAATGAAACGAAAAAAAAAGGAAACAAAAAGCCACAAAATCTACACGCACTAAAACAGTGAGTAACAGTTTGAATTTAGTAATTGACTATGTGATGAGTAATTTAAACAAGGAGACCATAACTTGCAGTATGAGTTAACTTTGACAGATGGTGAAATCTGGAAATAAAACATATGCATTAGAGCTGAAGGCCCATCACACGCCATCATACTGAGAGGTGATTTCAGGATAAAACAGTAGCAATGTCAGATTAGTACAAAGACCCTGAATTAACTTGCTAAGAGAATATATTTCCAAAAAACCCATATAAAACAATAACAATGTGTATATATAATGAATAAAAACTGCAGTGCTCGTGGTTATTGTATGCTTTTATAAAAGAGTGCAGGAACTGGGAAAAAAAGAACTCATTTAGTAAGTGGATTAGGAGGAAAAACAAACAAAAAACAAAACAAAAAAAATGAGTACAGTCATTTCTGCAATAACACTGGACATATGTAGGCATATTTGCTGGTGAATGCCATTTCACAGGGATCGAAATACAACCTCACATCCGCACCAAGTGCTTTAGTTTGTTACAGCAACTATGAGGACAATCAGAATTAGGAAACGGCTTCATCTGAGCAAAGATGTATATTTGAAAGTGTGCGCACAATACATCTCGTACACCGTTGGATGGACACATTTACTGATAAAGAGCCAAAATAAGATTCTGTCTGAGACTTAGCACTGGCGGGCAAGGCTGCTGTAAGCATGTTGCGCTGTGGAAAATTTTAGCAGAGAAGCTGTAATTTTGAAGGTATTTTGATCCCTGGAATGGAAGGTTAAACTGCCATTTGTCTATTTGGCCTAGTCGATCTGCGTAATGGGTGCACGACTTGTTTTTGCAATGCGGTTTGTTTCATTACAAACTCTTCTCCTCAGTCAAGGCACGCGTACAGTGCTGGGAACACTGTCCTCAATAACATTAAGCAACATAGTACATGAACATGGGGATGAAATTCAATATGAGACAACTTTTACTTCCTCAGAGTGTTCATCACTCTTTGTAGTATAATTTCATTACAGATTAGAACATTGTTATCAGTTTTCATTACTTCACAGAAAGTTATCAGATCGTCATTGAAAAGGAATTAAAGCACTAGATTTTCCATAATATGTGGCAAATCACAGCCAGGGCTGGCCTGCATTCTAGCCAAGTGCTTAATGGCATGAGGTGAAGGGGCGGTTATTATTTCCCTTGACATTGCTGTTTAGTAGCAATAATACAGAAACAAACTGTCAAAAATCATCAAATGTTAATTTTCATTATAATTGAAAAAGTTAAATCAATTCTGCAAGCTATTACCTTACAAGTCAACATGATGCGGAAAAGTAAACACAGGAAAATTAAGTTACACCGATACATCCATTATTATGCAGTGATGAACCGGGACGATTAATGAAGTCAAATACTGATGCAAAAACAACACCAACCCACGAAACATGAACAAATGCAACTAATGTCCATTATCAGCAAATACAGTAGTTACAATGACACTCCAAACATGAAAGCAAAACCATTAAACCAAAACCACTTCTATTTCAGGTAATAAGAGAGAACTATACAAAAATACGAACGCAGATATGGACTAAGAAAAAAAAAAATCACCTAATTTCACAGCTATTTGAAGTGGCAATCATTATATAGCAGCTTATCTATGATACATTCAAGATAGATGATACGCCTTATTACTTGCTCAAAAAGCTAAAAACATAACCTAAGCCATATTTCAAATACAATTTTGAAATTTACCCCAAGACTATAATTACTACAGTATATGTGAGGTCTATGCAGGGAGAGTAGCTACCTTGCTCAGAAAATGAATTACAGTCTTTGGTGCTGCACAAGCAACTTCATTTTGAAAAGGAAAGGACAAAACAAAACAAAAAACACACGACTAGCAGAACAAACTAGAAAAAGGAGAATTATGCACAAAGCATATATATTTTCTCCCTGACGGAATGTATAAAATAAGCAGTCGACACCAATAAGCTTAAACAAATTACATAATACAGAAAAAAATAATAATAACATTAAAGTGTTTCACACATGCATAAATGAGAGGATTGCACACAATTAACTCACACCTTGTCAAGCTTCAGCACTAAATAGACTAGCTCTATTATATATACCGTATATATAGATTCATATATACCAAATACTGCATGGTCAGCTCAGGCTATGATGAATCCATACCATGAATCGAAGACCTATTTGCATTTTAGTCATCATCTAGTCAAAGCCATGCCCACCACATGTTCTACACATCTAGAAGAATTAAAAACAACCCAATCGATCAAACAAGAAAATAAAAACACAGACATTGGAAAATCAACAACTATTTAGATTGTATTGCAGTTTCATTAAACAGTACAAATACTGTTAGTAGTAAGAGTTTATACTAAATAGAAATTGATTATCAAACATTAAGCAGTATTCAACGCTTGCTCTTTGTACACTAGTTCATTCGGGGAAGGTAACAAAACAAAGAAAGAAAAAAAAAAAAAGAAACGAACAGCAAGCATTCGCAACCGCAAAGCATGCCGTCCTCCGATTAAGGAACGAAAACGTAACTGACTACTTCTCAGATGTACACTGGATTCAAAAATAAGCACTGCCATTTTGTGCAATGCATTACATCCATGCCAATTTATGCATGAAGAGCATACACCTGTGCGTATACATAATACATATACACACACAAAGAATGCATGGACTGATCTGAATTTCAAGTGCTGCAGTCCAGTACATTTATATATATATATTCATATATATATATATTCATATACAAGTAGTAACATGAACAACCTCAAATATTTAAGGCACTATGGCTGGGGACAAGTTCAAACAATGCAGCGAGTGTCATGACAGAAACATTAAGAGCAACATCTAGGCATCTCTCCGATCAACGTTTGCGGCTCATGCAAGAACACATGCAGCGTGAGTAACGACCACTTTTCTAATCGATTAAAAGTGACTGAACACTGAAAAAACACACCAGTGACACCAGGAGGAGTACAAATACTTCGCAGAACATCACAACGTAGACACATGTGCATGTGTTGGCCATGACCAGGATACGGGGGGGTGGCTTTACAAACGAAGATGTGTCTTGCACAAGTTTGAAGGCATTTATAAAAAAATAGATTGGGGGGAGGGGCTGTGCCACATTTTTGTTTTTGTTTTTTTCGGCACCTTATTATTTACCTGTTTTAAGGAGCACTCATTTCGAAAATCCGATGAGAAGGTGTACAAAATGTGCAAAACACACTGAAGTTATTTTAATCCATCCACTCTAATCCCATACTTGCTTTTTTTTATGCTTTCTTTGCCGACTTGCCCAAAACCTTCAAAACTTCCTTTTTTTAATATATTTTTAAAGCTCAAAGTTCAATTGCACCCAAGTTCACATGATTCAGAAAAATAGCTTGCTTTCTCTCTTGTGCCATGGCTTTGGGCATGAAAACCAGGTGGTTTGTGGTTCCTGTAAAGGGCACCGCTCTAGGCCTAAAGGCCAATGCTAGGGAACTGGCATAGGCAGGCTGCCCCCTCTGAGAAGCAGGCCTCAGATGTATGGGTACTGGCTGAGTTTGGTGGGGCTGAGGGGGAAGCCTGCATATGCGGGTGAGGCAATGTAGGAGTGTGGGGGAAAGAGGGGCTTGAACTGGCCCTGGGGGTGGAGGGTAGGTGACGGGAGCAGGCGGGGGTTGAGGCCCACGGCAACAGGGTGCACCATGTGGCCGGCTGGGTGGGATAGGCTGTACGCCGGCTGTAGGACGTGGCTCCGTGTGGCCCCAGGAGAGGCCAGGAGGTGGGCCATGGGGGTGGCCGTTACCAGAGGAGCAGAAGCAGGGTAGGAGAGCAGGGCGGGCTGGGCATGGGCGTGGGGGTGGACGCCTAGGTGCGGTGGAGGTGGGTGGGCCGTAGTGTGGGTGGGGCTGCCGTGTGGTAACGTAAAAGTGTGGCCATGTACTGTAGGGGGGATGAAGGCCTGAGGCCGGCGGTGGCTGTAGTTGCCGTTCCACTCCTGGTGGGAGGAGCTGTAATGCTGGACCTGAGGTGAGAGAACAGGAGCGCATTAAAACAACTATAATTCACTTCAGTGCTGTATGTAGGACCAGAGTCTGAGGAGGACATCTGGCCTCAGCAGCAAACTAGTTCCTTATTATTCTTCTAAATGTTGTTTTATTATGCACAGTCCTGATAGCTTGCTGCTTAAAAAAAAACAAAACAAAACAACAACACACAAACACTTATACATTATGGTGTTTGTGTATGACAAACTCAAACTGAACTACCATGGATTCTTGAAAAGACATATAAAGCCTTAAAATATATATATTTTTCTGGTTCGGACATCATAATGTCTGAAAATGTCTTATTTTTACTCTTATAAGTTTATTAAAATTATAGGATGATGCCTGAAGACCATGCTGAAAAGAGTCATTGCCTATATTCAAATTATTCTAAATATATCCAGCTGGCCCTGTGGTCAGAAACTAACTACCGCTAAAGGAATGACCATGCAAGGATCGTGCAATCTCATAAGGTATATCCATGTTTGATTTTAAATAAAAAAAACTCACTAATACATGCCATATTTGTGTGCTTTGCTGTGCAGTGGAAATCATTTCTTTTTCTTCACTGAGAACGTAAAAAGGTCGGTTAAAAAGCACAAATTTTATTTTGAAAACTGTGCTGCAACACTGGCCTGCCAGGTGGTAGCAGTAAAGAACTGACCTGTCCAAAAGTGGGCAGTGGCTGCTGTGGCTGTGGGGGGTGCTGGGGCTGGGATGCAGGTGTGATCTTCTGTTGCCGGTTCAGAAGCGACACAGAGTGGTGGAACTGTCTGTTGTGACCACTGCGGCCTTTGGACAGGCATGATGACTCTAGGACTGATAGTGGAGGATAAACAGTTACACAAGCTCTACATTTCTGTAAGCTGCATGCAGTGGCTTCCATGTTCAGGTATATACACTATACTTCATAGTAAATTTCTTCTTTAAAAAAATACAGAAAGAAAGAAATCAGAAGGAAAAAAGGGACCAACAAAAGACCGTCGTGATAGCAGATAAAAAAAAATATGCTGAAACAAACTAGCCCATGTGAGGATGTAATCGACCTCACTGTCGTCATTTCATTAAATCAAATTACGGCCAGACACTGCCCTATTTTATTAACCTGAGACAGTGGGAATGGGATTAGTGAAATGAGCATGGTGTATTAAAATAGAGATGCCAACCAGAATCTAAAAGAGTTGGTTGGGGGTTGGGGGGGTGGTGGTAGTGTTGGGGTGGGAGGAATGGCAACTAAGATCATTCTTATTTGAATTTGCAGGTCACACCAGCATCTAAAAATACATCATTCAAGACCAGAATAGCATGCACTGGCCTTTAAGTGTGGATCAGATGTGTGTCTGTTAAAAGCTGATATGTTGATCAGCAGATTGTTCTGTATGTAGAGGGCTTTTTCAACATGAAGAGAAAAAGAAAGGATTAGAAAAATGCAGAAAAAAAAAGAGTAGATCAGTGTCAGTAAACAGGAGTGCCTGCACTCCATTCTCCCTTTTTAGTCCTATTCAGATCCTCAATGTAGTATCTCTCTATAGCATCAAACAACATTGCTATCAATCTGGATACATGAAGGCTAACACACGGTACACCTTGAATCACAACATTTGGACTAAATTCAGTACTATGGGTATAAACAGCAAATTTCAATTGGTGCATAATGAATAACCTGATTAACTACCCATCATGAAACCCATCTTGTTTAAGATGAAAAATAGGGAATTTGCTGCACACTGTATCCAGTATGGTCATGCACTCTCAGAAAAAGGTACTAAATTGTCAATGGGGCAGTACCCCTCTTGTCACTGGGGTGGTATGCTCAAAGTCTTCAGTACCTCTTGTTAGGGGACATATTACACTGAAATGATATGTTTGTAAAGTGTATTGACTCTGTCTTCACTCCAGACTTTTCATTTTATTGTTCTGTTTTAAAATTTTACGTTATGAAAAGGTATAAATACATACTTTTCCATGTGAAAAAACATATTTAAGGTACAATTGGACACAGCGTCCTGTTTCAGTGTTCTAGAGCCAACTGTCTTCTTTTTTTGTTAATAAGGGCTTCTTGACAGCTACACATCTTTTTAGACCCATAGCATTGAGCTGATTTCTCACAGCTGAAGGATGGACAGAAATTGGATTTTTTCAGATCTGAAGCAAGAGTCAAGCTGGAGATTCTCTTGTCTCTCAAAGACGAAGTAATGTTTATCTGATGGTGACAGTTTTTTCGCTCTACCAGATCTTACGCAGCCGTTGTCCTGGATTATCTTATTTCTTGAAAAATGAATAACTTGTATATAATAGCTGATTTGAAATGAAATAAATTATAGGTGGTTTCTGACTTTTGGACAGCACTGTTAACACGTATAAGTCCAAATTTAGAACGATGCTACAGAAAAACAGAACAGGGCAGCCAAGAGTGTTTACAGAGAAAGGAAAACACTGCACACAGAATACCCAGTCAAAGGAGTGCGTGACTGGAGCTGCAGCCATAATCACCTGTACAAGCCTCTTTGACCTACTAAAGCTCTGTAATTCCAAGGCATGCGACCTGAAAACAGACATCAGCAGTGATTGCAAAGTTGACCTACTGCCAGTCCCCAATTATGCTGCTGACCTGGCAGGAATTAATCCATCACCATTTATTCCATGAGGTCAGGAATTAACACAACATCTTGTTATCAGGTGGATGTGGGGGTGTAAAATTGTATTAAAGCATAGCTGACTTTAATTGGTTCCACCAGTGTAAAACACAGATGACTGAACTGCACAAGCCTGGAAGATCAAGTTTGAGGTCGAGACTGAAAAGGTTATCAGCGACTTTAGCTACTTTCTGCAGAGTTCATTTCTATCCTAGAACTAGCACATCTAATCAAGGTCTTAAGATGCTGAGTAGATGGATAGGGTACGACAAATCAGTGTTGGAACCAAACTCTGCAGGAAGTTCGATCGCCAGGAGCAGGGCCAGTGATCTCTGCTCAGAGCTACAGTCTATTGTCTGAATCACTTTTTTAAAAGTTTTCCTTGTTAACTGTACATTTCTTAGATATATTCCACCTGCCTTTGAATTAAAACAATGTCAACCTGCCATTTTTTTTATTGGATCACTGACACCATACAGGGTGTCTTTCTCCATTGTTTACGGTTCTGTTCCAGGCTTTGTGCAGTTTTATTCTCTTTGAGGCTATTTAAAGGCAACCTCACCACGCTGTCACAAAAGATTACTTTTCCCCCATTTATAATGTATGTAAACTGATATGATCAGACAGAAAACCCTCTGTATTTACCTGTCCTGGCCAAGGGTTCATTGTTGTTCTGAACCCTCATGGGAGGCACCACCATGGTCCGTATGGGCGGTTTGCCCGATTGAGTCCCTGTGGTTACACGGGGTTTGCAGTTCTCGTTCCGGTCAGCAATGTAGCGACCCTCCAGAAAAGGACTGTCTGCTCGACCAGAGGAATCAGAGGCAGGCGAGCCGTCCACTGTGTCACAGCCACTCTCTTGTTCATCATCAGACATGCTGCATACAGACCAGTACAATCACACACATAGATCAAACACATGAGATCTGGAGTCAAATAAATTCACTCTCAGAATGAGCACCAAATAACACAAAATGCAACTTTTGCAGTGATCTTGTGAAAAGTAGTATGAGGAAAACATGTATAACACGTTTATTTTCTATTAAAAAAGGAGGTGTGGTTATGCATGTACCTGTTGGGCCTCTTGCAGGGTGAGGCACTGGACTGCAGCGAGGCTGAGGAGCTGGTACTGAGGCTGGAGTCAGGACTGCTAAGAGAACAGACACGCTCCATATTCAGAGTGCTCTGACAAGCCTCGCAATCCGGACTGCCTTTACACCTGCCACACATTCAGAAACAGTACTAGTCAAAACATTCAAATTACAAATAGTACTTTTACATAATTAATAATAAAAAAACAAACAAAAACAAATAATAATAATAATAATAATAAACATCAATTCATTTATTAAATTTCAAGTCAAAATGGTCATTAAGTACAATTTATTCAGCGCAAGGAAAAAAGCAGAAAACATATCTTGAACAGAAATCAACAGCTAAGTAATATATAACATTTTTTTTCAATATTTAGTGTGCACGGCTGTTAGGAGACTCTTTATCTTTATTTTTTAATTAACTGTTTTGAATTCCTATTTCCCTTTGATATTCTCTTCCTGAAAAAATGTATAACTTTTTCTTAATGGTCATTTTGACTGGAAATTAAACAACTGAAGGGTAGTCAGACTCCCACAGTACTACATAAAACAGTGCTTTGTATCTCAAAACCTGCATACTCACTCTAATGAGTGTCTCTGTGCTCTCTGCTCCTCTTCCTCATCTGTATCACTGCTGATGCTAATGACACTACTAGTTGGGCTTGGTGTGTCTGCTATCACAATGGCCTGCCTCTGCTTCTGCGAGACGCCCAGCTCATTTGGTTCCGGCTCTGCCTTACAACACACAGTTTCCTCCTCCTCCACTGCCCGTGATTCCGCCTCCACCACACACTCTGCTTCTGGACAGTGATCTTCTACTTCCTCCTCTTCCACTGTGTTTTTTCCAAGGTTAGCCATCTTTGGGGATTGGCAAGTGGAATTTTGGGTGTTGGTGTTGTGTAAGAAGTTACTCCTAAAACCAGGGGACAGCACTCTTGTGTTGAGGACAGGGCACACTTGTGAACTCACAATAAAAGGAAACCTATACCAGTCCATTTCGACAATTTTAAACCTTTTTTTTCCAGATCTAATTATTTACATTAGTAATCACAAAAAATATATACACATATGTATATGAATAAAGCCAATGGACAGGTTGGCAAAGATATTTGTATCCTTCCTCAGTTATACCTTAATGTGAAAACTAACCTGTTTCCACAGAGTTTATTTCTCTTGTTAGCAGCTGGCTGTGGCCACACCACATGAGCGATGCCTATGCTAATTGGCTGATGTGCTGACATGGTCATTTGGTTGGTTAGGAGTGGCTGGGGATGGGGGATAATGGAGCTGTAATGGTTACCATGGGGACGAACTTTGCTGTAGAACAAGAACAAGGAGAGAGTACAACATAATTCTGTTGTAAAACTACTACAGCTGGCAAAACTATGTTAAACTACTAAAAACTATGAAAAACAGGAGATCCAAAACACTAAACATTCAACGAATGACTGTCATGCAGCCTTCACTCACCCCCAGTCTGCCAGTCTCTGTGGGCCTGCCACAGAATCAGAAGCCAGTGTGGTTGCTGGGGGGGCCACTGGGGTCACCTGTTGCCAGGCAGGTACCAGGATCTGCTGGGCCCTATTAGACCAGGCCTGCTGCAAAGATGAAGAGTGAGACAAGTGGCACATTTAAGGCAACATGGAACAAAACAGCAGAATTGTCACTGCAATAGGTGTACAGAATGTGCATACCTGTGTGATGACCCCTGGTCTAATCTGTAGAGGCTGGATGGCAGGGGCCTGGGTCACGAGGGGCACTGCGTTCTCCATTCGTACAGAATAGCCTGCTGGCTTATTTGGATTTGGAGGGAGGCCTGTTAAACAAACAAACTGCTATAAACCACAGGGCACATACATTTACTGACAATGGATGGATGTACTTTCTTGGCAGACATAAAAGCAAGTTGGAGGCACTAAGGCACATTGTACCTTGTATGGTAGGGGGACAGAGAATCAGTGCTTGCTGAAAGGAGTCCCCAAACTGAGCACCTGTTTGCAGTGGGATCCCAGGATGCATAACAGAGGGAGCAGATGGGGCTAAAGGCTGCACAGCACACAAAGAGACAGAAGATACAATTCAGAGGAAAAATGCAATATTATTGGTGTGTTTCTTTCTTAACAGGTTTCACTTATGGACCAATCAATATATAATAAGAGAAATTCCACAGATTTTTTACAATTCCCCATAATTAAATATTTAGGGTGTAACCAAAGTCATTCAGAGTGGTTTGATGTGAAATGCTCTGTTCTAGTGTTCTACAGAGTTGGAATTGTTCACAGTGGAAGTGATAGGAACCCCACATCTAAAGAGTTTTAATGGCTGTAAAAGCTACCTCACTGAAAACTGATACTAAGACATTGCTTTTTGATAGTTTTGTGATAAGGTTTTGCCACTTTGGCATAAAACACATTTTTATAAATCCAATCATAGTGGAGAGGTATATGCAGGGAGCTGTTAGGCAAAACAGGCAAATAAGCACCCAAGGAAAAAAAACATCTTTTCTTAGCTTTACTGGTCATTCTGGATAGTAAATAAAATGGCAAAATTTCTGTCAGTGCATTTTTCTACAGTTAAGCATTTTGCATCAATCTACTCTAAATTACTTTGCATTTATCTTAATGATAGAAATATGCAGCAATTTTGGAGAAACTGGTGGACGTCCCAGTTCTAACATGTTACAAAGGCAGCATCAATGCAATACAATCAAATGACCCATAGGTGGCAATACTGCAATGCTAGATAATACTCATATGTAAGAACACAGATCAACACACAAAACACAGGCCCCTGGCTCAAAGTTCACTTAGACCAGTGCAACTCCAGAATAATCTGGGTTATTGAATTATGGCCATTATGCTTTGGCAGTCCAAACACGATCAAAAGGGCGCTCGCAGACATGGTAAGAACAAAGCTCCTTTTCACCTGTATGACCAGCTGACCAGCCTTTTCCATTTAAGTCTTAACTGGAACCAATTACAGTTTACAATCTACGCATGCAACAGTACTTTGGGCGGTCCATTCTGACGCACAGGGCCTGCACATGACCAAAACGTTCACCTGATAAACAAAATAATTGTATAAACTTCTAAAGCACCCGCACGCTATATGAAGAAGTAAATGAAATCAAATTTCCTCAAGGCTGTCTTATGAAATATTAACAATGTAGCCAAAATGGCATAAAAGCAAGCCCCATGTATGTGGGAGGTCAGCTCACTAAAGAGAGGTTTCTCTCTCTCTCTTTTTTTCTCCTTGGCAACCAAACGCTCTCCCCATGTTGCGCTGACGTCAGCTAGCGTTGCCATGACTATGACGCTGCCATGCAATAAGGTGACATTAGTGAGGTCTGTGAGAGAACAATGGTGTGGAGGTAAACAGGGCCATTTACATGAGAAGCAGGGACACAAATACACCCACTGACATCAGTGGAGTCCAAGCTGAGCCATCTCAACATAGCAACTACACAGGAACATGGAATAAACACTGCTAGCTCATTCTTTACATCACTCTCAGTGCTCGCAGCACAATGGCTTTTACAGAGAACCATATGTTGCATAAAGTCAAACCTAAAAGCAGAGCATGTTGTGACACTTCTAATTTGACTGTTTTGACAGCGAGTCACTGCTTGCGTTAAGCAAAACGCACATCACCCTCATGTTTCAGCAGAAGTTGATCTATGTTTACGACCACTGCATTTGCTAACCAAACACAGGCAAAAAGCGGCAGAGCTGCAACGAACTGCATAACAAGGCAGCTTAAAACGTAGGCAAGGGTGATGGCGCATGGAAAGCATTAAGACTTTGAATATCAAACACAACTGTGGCTGGTTACAATTCCACCACATGCACAGCATTAAAAAGTGTAATACACTGCAGTAGTGCTTGCCGTACTTGAGTGTGCACGCCGGCCATCTTGCTGAAGGGCACGGTCAGGTTGGGTGCCGAGGTGGTGACAGGCCTCACAAACGGAGCCTTGTTCCGGTTGATGGTGTCGTACGTGCCAGGACGTGACCGGCACACATCCATGATGTGGAAACATGATTTGACACTATAAAAAGTGAAAAGAAAAGTGATCCTTTAATGAGCTGAAAGATTTTTGTTTCAACTCACACACAACATTTCTGACATACAATTTAGCACACACTATTTAAAATTAAAAGAGTAAATAAAGAAAGACAAATACATGAAGCATGTAATTATATTAAATTATATACTGTTGTTCCAAAATTTTAAATCACTTGTAATCACCTTATTAACAACAATAATATACATACACAATAATGGCATATATAATTTGGATTTAAACAGTAAAAAATATATTAATTAATAATTTCACATTCAAGAGTTCTGCGAGCAAGACATTATTAAATGCTAATATGTGGTGATTGTTTATTTTTTTAATTATCGGCCTTGAGATAATTTCATCTTCAATTCTGAAATATGATGAATTCTAGACTTTAAATTTAATTCTTGACACAGTACAGCTTTATGAGTTGTTTAAGAATCATCCACAGTTCTGTTTGTCTTTCTAGAAACATCTAGAATTCATTTAGTTCATCAGCCTAAGGGTGTACAACTCCTACTAGTCCTGGAGGGCTGGTGTCCAGCTCAGTGTGGTGAGGATTTCTGGGTGTATTTGAGTAGGTGAACTACTGTGCCAGACACCGGGCTTCATGAACTGGTATGGCGCACTCCTGCTTTAACCATTTCCGAATGTAATAAGCTCACATCTGAGATATTTTTTTAAAAACAGAAAAAGTTATTTTTTACTGTATTTGTGTGTATTTGCATTTATTCAAATTATTATGTTTTTATAGCAAAACACACTGCAGAGATAAATGGTTTTAAACCTTAGATGCCTAAGACTTTTGCACAGTACTGTACAATATATAAATATTCATATATTAATTATAAATTAAACAATGAAATTTAACCTGGATCATTTGAAAGACCCATATTTTAGATGAATTTATATTTTGGAGTTTTAGATACTCACTGGTTGCTTTGGGGAAAGTCCAGCAAGTGCTGCATGGTGACAAAGGGATGGTTGAGGGCATCACTGGGGACTATTCTCTTCTCTGCATCTATTAACAACATCTTCTTCAGCAAGACCACAAACTCTCCACGGTCCACCTTCTCTGCCAACAAGTCACTGCCTTCCAGATTCATCACCAAGTTCACCTGGGAAGCAACAGGGAAATGAGTTACTTACCAAAATAAATGAATACAAATAATAAAAAAAAATAATAATAAAGTGTGCACATTTTAAAGACTTCTCAGGTGACTGATTTTAAAAAATAGCACAAAGCTTTATTGTTTGAATTGTGACAAAAGAACACTTTCAAAATTACATTATTATCAGTAAAAGCACCTTCCTGGCCAGCTTGCAAGATAAGCAAATTTACACTTCTTATGATGGGACTTTCCGCTTCAGTAAGACAACAAAGTTAAGTGTGCACGTGTGGTTAATATCGGGCGGCCATACGTACATGCGCTATATCATCCAAACAGCTGAATATGTACTTTCTGGCTTCTTTTGACTTCATCCCTGTTTCTGTCTCATGCTCCTCTGTTGACTGAAAAAAGACACAGAATAAACAGCCATCATATGCACTGATTGTTCTTCACAAGATGACACATCACAGCTGTGTGTCCTGGTCGAGTAACTGTGTGGGTCCAGGACTCACTTTCAGTCTCCATGCTGCATAAGGGGAATCTGACTCTCTGCAGAAGAAACGTGACGTCTTAGTCCCCACGTTCAACAAGTGCTCTCCTGGCAGCCCCTGCGTCTGGGAAATGTAGCGAATCTGAGAGAGAGAGAGAGAACGAGTGAACGAGCAAGACAGAGAGTGAGAGCGAGAGAGAGAAACAGAGAGCTAGGTTAACTCTTATTCACACACAAAAGTCATACTGTCATTGGAAGTTTTAATTAAGTGATTCTGGAGTATTTCTACTGCTCCATTCATCATGAACTTTTCACACGAAGTACAGCACAGCTGCCGTGTTCAAATGATGTAAACAAATAAAAACTGACAAAAAATGAAGATGTGTTTTTTTATTTATTTATTTATTTCTTTTTTCGGACATTGATGATTATGTTTGACTCACTGTAAAGGGGATTTCCACAAATTTTTCAAATTTCTGCACTATTCAAACAATGAGTGAAATGAAAAAAGTCATTCAGAGTGGTTTGATTTTTGGTTTGACCTTTTAGACTGACTTTAATTTCTTTACAATGGTTGTGGTGGAAACCATAGGTCTAAAATGCAAATATTATTTGCCACTGTATTTACTAATAGTGAACCAGTGAACCTACAAGTGTCTTCTGAGTTTTTCTATGTAATGTTGATAAAGATAGGCAGGCATCAGGCAACAGATTTAAAGTTATTTTGTGTCATAACTTTCTGTGAAGGAGATTTTCGAATTAAACTTCAGACATCTGGACATTTGGCGATTTCTCATTCACACTGACTTTAACCTCAACCCAATTCCTAATCCGAACCCTGATACTCATCTTAAACATAAGCCTAAAACAGATGATAAATCAAACAAGTTTCAGCAAAAAGTTTAACAATTTTAGTGTTTGTATACAATGTTTATGGGACCATCAGAATTAAAAATGGAATTAAATCCAATAAAATTCCCTTCTTTGCTTTAAGGAATTTTCAATGCAAATATTACATGAACTCATTTCGTAACATGAACCCATTTAGTAAAGGTATAATTTGTAATAGTCAATAAGCATACAGTGTCTACAGTGTGACAATCAGGAGTGATAATCACAGAACCCAGTAAATGTGTAGTTATTCTCTCCACAGGTGTCTGAAGGTGGTGACGTATGTGACTGGTACGTGCGTGTGTGTTTGTACGTGCGCATGAGAGAATTTGTGTGTCTAAGTGTGCCAGCCAGCGAGTGAGCCAGAGCAAGACCCTGACGTCAGCTGCACCCTGGTGTAAGGAGAAACATCTATTAGACACACAGTGTGACAGAAGAGCTCCAAAGGTAATGTGTTCTTTTTGGCATTTTGGGCCCCCTGGTCAGATGACCCTTTAACCTCTTCACTCTAGACCATTATCACTCATGCAGGGCTGCAGCAAACATGCCTTACAGTGATTAACTAATCTGTCTTTTTATTTTAGATAAAACAAATGACAACAACTATTGGTGGGTCAAATGATCTTTTTTTTTAACAAACTACATTTTAGTTTAGATTTATTTGTTTGCATTGAATTAAATGTTACTTCACAATATCTCTTTGCAGACTCAACACTGAACTCACTGAATAGTGCATTTAAACCGAGACCTATTATTACAGGACCCTACTGGGCCTGTTACTAAGAAACTGGAGTGCAGTCACTCTGATTTATTCAGTTTATTAATTTTCGAAACAGTACAATGGATTTTGGACAAATGAGAAGTATACACATCTAGTTTGATAACGATGTATTAGGTGGAATGGTAGTGCATTAAACTATATTTTGGTGTTGAAATATAGGTGCTATAAGGGTAATAAACTGATACCAGTAAGATACAAAAATACTCTTTAAGTACATTACATTAGAATTAGCTATCTACTGCTATCCTGGCTCAAGTGTGGTTCTTACTTTATACATATTAAACAAACACTTTGATTTCTTTGTATTTTTACATACTAATTGTTTCTACTGCCTCTCAACAGAACAAAGTCTGTTATTAATACTCTTTACAGTCAAAGAAATGACTTTACAGAAGTATTTCAGTTTTGACCTAAAGGGGAATTCCATTGATTTTTTCCCATTCCTGTGAAATTAAATCATTGGGACAAAACAAAGTCATTCAGAGTGATTTCATGTGAAATGCTCCGTTCTAGAGAAACTTACCAGCTCAGAACTGTTCACAGTGGCAGTGATAAGAACCAGACGTCTGAAGCATTTAATGCCTCTAAAAGCTCCTTCAGAGAAAGATATTACATGAAATGGTTACAGATACACTGCTTGATGCCTGAGGCACTGATTTATAAAAGTTTTAAGGCCAAAGATGTGTTCTTAAAATCTTCATGGCTGAGAGGTACATGTAGGACCTTGTAAGACAAAATAGTACCCAAGAAAACTTTACCATTATTACCATTACATATAAACTCAAGACACATGCAGATTCTCTGGTTGTTTTGAATACTAAATAAAATTGTAGACATGGTGACCCCTGGTTCCTATCACCACCACTGTAAAGAAAATCTGAGTTAGAACATTTCTGTATAGTGCACACATAAAACTCACATCAAACCACTCTGAATGACTTTGTTTACAAATTATGACCAAATTATAAAAAACAACACAAAAAAACCCTTAAAATGAACAGTTCAGTTAGCGCACCCTTACTGCACAGCACCCTCTGCAATAATGCAAACCTCTCTAATGTAGATCAACATAGCATCCACAAACTGCTCATTTTAAATTAGCATTCATGTGTCCAGTATATTTGAGATATGCGTTCACCTTACATACTTCAGCAGCTTGTAGTGTTTATAATTGCTTTTTATACACTTTGCGATCAGTTTTTGGGGAGTTACAGATAATTTTGCCTATAAACAATAAGCAATACAGCTTTTCACCAATGAAAATGTCTGAAATGGTTCCCTAATCACAAAACCCTACACTCGAAAATCCAGATCACTGTACAGAACACTATTACAGGGAACCGAATCCATGATGGATGGAAGTTGTGCATGAATCTTCAAACCAAACAATGCAATGCATTATAGGTGTCCTCTTGTCCACTAGGGTACATCGCTTGTACACTATTTATTGCGGTGCACTGTGAGACTGTTTGAATGCGCTAAATCTTCTTATGTTTTCAGACACCACTACAGCAGAATAGCAGAACCCCAAAATGGTGCACTATATAGTGAATAGGGCACAGTTTTGGACACAGCTCAAGACTGTTTGATTGGACCATCTCATGTTTACTGCAGGCCAAGCTGGCCACAACCACGAGGATTTTGCCAGATGCTTTCTGATTGGCTATCTGCATGTCTGTGTTCACATGTCCTTCAGAAAACAAGCAGTTACCTGCTCTACACGCTGTGATGTTTCTTTAAAGCATTTAGTAGCTAGTAAATGAGACATCTTTGTGTATTTGCCAGGGAATATCACTTTGTTTTCCGTGGGTGTTTTGCATAGCCCTGTTTTAAAAGTCATCTGACCCTACAGTCCACACTAAAACAATGGTCTGGGGTTGGTTATTCTGCCTATCAGTCAGGCCCTTTCCTGTCAAAGTAGACAGTCCTTCACCATGTTAAGCAATAATATGCACACAACTGCCCAACAATAGGCAGAAGTCAGGTTTGCAGGACCAGCGAGACTGCCGCTCTGGTAGGTAACATGTAAAGGTTACAACCCTTTGACAGACAGCAAGGAGACAACATGTACTGAGCATGAAGCAACTGTCCTGAACATGTGCAAAAAACTGTTCCAGACATCCATCAAACAAGACTTCTAATAGCCAGATGTTCTCCAGAGTAGTGAAGAAATTGCTTTTTTATTTTGAGAAGGCTGTGTTTGAGTGTTTTGTGCATTCTAGAAGCACAAAAATTCAATTAAAAAATGTTCCCTTCTGGTTTTGGGTAAAGCACAGTTCAAGTCTTCAGGTTCAAATGAGCAACAGCAGCATTTTACAGGAAAAACAAACCAAAATTGATCCAATACTCTGACCAAACTGACCAATGCACATGGTCATTTAGCAAAATAAACAGTTCTTCCACACCAACCAATCAGGGGCAACATTTTTGTGGCCTCACACAACGCCAATAGTTTAAGCAATTTCTTCAGATTATCAACTCAAAGAAGATGAACGTCACAAACATCCGTGCCTGGAAATACACAGCCAGCCAGCGAGTGGGAAACGGACGAGGCGGGAAGTGAGCAAGGCTTCCTGAGCTGAATGTTTTGATTGGCGCAATGCGTACACATTCAACAACGAGGAGCAAGGCCGGACAAGGGAGTTGATTCATCAACATTCCGATCTCTTACATCACCACGCTGTGAGTGAAAACTCTGCCTACAGGAATCAGCCATTCTAGTAAACAGTGCACGACATATGAAAGAGCACCAGCTCTGTGCACTGTATGTCAACAAAATGCACTGCCCTCTGAATCTCCGCCACAGTGTTTTCTACCATAATGGTACAATTACAATCACAGTGTACATGTTGTATTATATTCATGTGCTGTATAACTGATAATAAAGCTTCCTAAAAACATATTACGGCTATAGCATGTTACATTATATGTGAACAGTCACTTGCATTTCATCATGTCCCTGTAAACTTCATACAGCACCGTGCAGAAGTCAAAGACTACCCTTCATTTATTTAATTTCCAGTCAAAATGTACTGTTTAGTACAAGTTATTCATTTTTCAGTGTTAAGAAAGATTAAAAAGCAGAAAATATTTATTTAACGTAAAATTACAACAAAAAAAAAGGTAAATATGTAAACTAAGCATGATGTCAATTTTTTCAGTATTTAGTGTGTCTCCCTTTGCCTTTATTACAGCTTCCATTCTTCTGAGAAGACTTCTCATGATCCAAACAATCTCAAATACACATTCCACGATGTTGGGATCTGGGCTCTGGGGTGGACAGTCCAGCAGCTTTTTTATTTGAAATGTTCTTTTGACTTGACTTTCCTCTTCTTTATGCAAGTGCATTATCTTACAGCTAATCTATTCAAAAATAACTCCTGAAAGAACAACTTGTACTCATTATTTAAATGGTGGGGGCTCTGACTTTTGCACAGCACTGCAACGTCTCCTAACACAGGTATGTTATTAGCACAGTTCTTTTTGTTGCTGCTGCAACCGCAATTACATTCAGGATAAAAAGTCTTTTCCCTGTATCAATATCTTCATAGCTAGTTCTATTATTGCAGTTTTAAAGGCATGAAATGAATTTGTTTGTGATACCATGTAAAGCCTGCTTTGCATGTTTAAGTGACAGAAGCTAGAGGCTTGTTTTCATAGAAAGGTGTGTCAGTGAAGTAACTCCAGTATATAAGTATGATAGAGTCTGCTTGCAGGCCCAAACCTGTCCAGGAAGGGAGAAGAAACCACCAGACAGCAATGCCAGGCAGCACACGCCTCCAAATTCTCCCACATACCACATACACGTTCACCATATACCAACAGGCAACATCTTCAGAAGCTCATGCAGACACAAACACACAGTATAAACCATCAAATGCTTGTTTCCTTGTCCTCTGTTTGTCTATGATGACACATTCCTGTGGCCTAATAGCTGCTTACTGCACTGCTAAACCACTGCTGCAATGTTGAGTGAGGGTTCTACACTCAATATTAAAGCTGAGATGCTGCTGCTGGTGCAGTAGGCCGGGGTTCAGCTTCGCTATAAATACATTCTGCTGTGTGGTGTGGAACTGGACCCCCATGAAGGAGGAGCAAGTCAGAGGGGGTGCTAACTTGTAGGGGTGGGTAACGGCAGTCCCTCCCTGGCCAACAGTCTGACACTCCACACCTTCATAGGTCAGGGGCCCTGCTAGTAAGATAAGACTTCACGCATTAAATCAACACGTGATTACTAATGTGAGCTAAACACAACCAGGGAAATTGGGCTTTCAGTTTTGCGATGGGCAGGCTACAAAGACAATTTTAATTTAAGTGTCACCCAGCTAAAATATGAATAAAGATAGATTTCAACAGCCTAGATGAGCGTCTCAATGTCGATATCTTTGAAAAAGTGGATTTACATTTATAAACGCAAGCCCCATGTAGAGCAGAGTGCTAGAAACAATTACAGAAATGAACTAAGCCATCTTCAGACACACTTTTCAAGCAAATCTTCACTGTAAGAACAAAACTTCATATAGCGACAAAATGTATGTTAAGTTGAAACCCAATTTACCAACTAGCTACTCTAGAAAACAGACCAAAACAAGTATTTTTATTATCTAATTATATTTAACCATTTGTCTCAGTATTGCATTCTACTGAAACCTTGTATCTCCAAAATGGTAACTTTACAGGAAGATAAAAAAAAGTTCTTAACTTTATTGGACACTAAAAAAATTAATTAAAAGTAACTTCGGGCCATTTTCATTGGTCCCTTTGTTACAAAATCTTCAATATAAAGTGCAGCTGGTGCTTTAAAACAGTATAAAAAATGAAAAATGAAAAATCTGGATTACTAAAGATATGACAGCGATGATAAACTTTTTTAGGAATGTGGAGTTATCTACCCCAAAAGTACTAAACTGGGACAAGAGGTGGAGCAGAATGAATATGGCGCCTGGCATCAAAAATACCTAGACGTTCAGTCAGTGGTCTTAAGGGGGGCTTCATAGTATAATGCAGCTTGATATATGGGCATGGAGCAGGTGCTGTTCTGGATTGGCAGTGTTAAGACCTGATGGCTCCCCTTGGCATCCTTCAAAACCCCAACAGTCACACTGGTGGAGATCCATCACCCATCACCCATCGCCCAGCACCCACTTTTCTGCTCTCTTTCTCACTGGGCCACCCAGTCCTTCCAATGCAGGGGGGCTGCTAGAGCTAGTCTTTCCCAGCCTTGCCCGGAAACAGTGTTCTAATCTGGGCCTGTTGCTGCCCATCCCTCTCTCTCCCTCTCTCGCTCACACACTCATACCACGAGACACACACTGACACACAGAATGTCTCTCAAAGTCCCCAAAGAGTCTTCAGGGCCCCAGTTCTCAGCAGGAGAGAAGGAGTCACAAAGGAACTCACAGCAGAAAAGGCATTATGCTAATAGCAAATGCAGAAAATGTATGTACCACATACATACACTCCCTGACAAAACACAGATACACACCCCCATGATGAAGTCTTGGAGAGATGGCAGTACAAATTCTTCTGCAGACTGTTTGGGCTCGAGAGCACATACCACAGCTCAGTGCATAACAGATGACGTAGTGCAGAAGAACACAGAGATGTGTGAGAAATCACATCTGAGAGCAGACTTTCTGAAGGAAAGGCCACCAAGTTGAGTCTGACATACAGCAAGAAGCAGTGTGAGTCAAAAATCAGGGCTGTCACTGTAGACTGGATTAGTATTCAAGTATTTTAACAACTATTTTGACGTTTAACCGAGCAGTCAGAGGTCACACAATAAACATGAGCTTGACTGATCAATACCAAACCAAAACACTTTACTTGTAAACAGATAATGTAGAAAGTCTATAGAAAAGACTGCATTAAACAAATATACTTTGCCAGTATGTGTCTACATCTATATATAAATGGAAGTGCTCATACTATTTCTTACTGTAAGAGAAAGCAGAAGGAGCAGGGGTCGTCATTGTCTATTGCGTGCTGCCCCAGGCCACTACATTTGTGGCCACTAAAAAAAGCAGAGCCTGTTCACTTGACTTTTTTTTCCTTTTAACAAAACAAATCAAATCAGACAAGTTAAATTTTCAAACTTTCACAAGTTTCCACCATTAATAACAAAAACAACTACTTTTCACTCAAAGATCCAGAGCCTGTATGGTCAGACACAGAACTAAGAGCATCAAATTATTCCGCTGGAATTCATTCAGCTGTAGTGTTAATGTTAACACCACGATTAGTAATGTGACAACTTCTTTCTATTCTTTCTATAAGCTCCTCACAGTTCTTCTCGACCTATTGCTTTGGCTTGGTTAATAAAATATAGCTTTACTGTTAGTGACAGTGCTGACAATAAAAAAAAAAGAATTAAATGATGATTTCAAGGCGAAAAAAAAGAAAGTTCAGTGTGGAGTGGAAGAAAGAATTTGTGTGGCTCGATCCGGCTGAATATATTGTGAAAAATGAGGATTGCTTCACATTATTCCCTGGTTTTACTAGTACAATGAAAATATGGAGTGGATGTGGGGGACTCACAGCAACACTTGTTTTTGGTACTGAAGAATAATAAATTATGATAAATTGGCCTATATGCTACGTTTTTCTAGTATTTTATTGTTGCCCTGAGGTCTACTTCTAACAGGGGTGTCCAATCTTAACCGCAAAAGGCTGGTGTGGCTGCAGGTTTTTATTGCAACAAAGCAGGAGCATACTTGATTAGTTGTTTGAAGACTGAGACTGACTGATTAAAAGAGTGGAATCAGGTGTGCTCTGATTGTTTGAAACAAAATCCACATCAGCCCTTTGTGGATAAGACTGAACACTCCTAAACTTACAATATCTGAATGGGGTTATGTACCAGTCATAATTCATCTTCACCTGATCACTTCCAGCATCATGCCTTAGGCTGCTTTGGTTACTAAACCAGACAGACATATGTAAATAACTCCTCTTCTGATAACTGTCTTGTATTGTGTCTCACTGAAAAAGCAGTTTGTACTGAAACACACCTTATAACTTCAGTGTGAAAGGTCGGGGCTAAAATGCTGTAGGTGGAGTAGGTGAATGTGTGTAAATGATTTATTTTTTTGTGATGGGCTGTTTTTGCAACTTTCTAAATATGGAAGGTATGGACTGGGGAGTGATATATAAACTTCTTTTTTCTTTAAAAACGTGAGTGATGTGGGCCCTTTAATTGTAAATACAACATATTTACAACAAACGTTTCTATAATTCTGGCCACAAGATTCATTGGCTTGGTGGCCCAAGCGGCCAGTGCAAATTTTACCTCTGCCTACACCTGAACTGGAGAATTTGAAACGTGAATTAACAGCTAATCATTCCAGATTTATTAAAAAGGTAAAGTTTTAAAGTTTAAATGTAAATGTTTTTAACTGAGGAACTGTGAAGGCCCTAGTCCAAAGTTTCACTAGCATATTGTTGTTGTTAGAGGGAATGGAGGGGCAGCGCCAGTGAGGAGGCTAATCATCCGTGGGCTGAATAATTACCTGGTCATACTCCAGAGCCCCAGGGTAGAGGGGCCAGCCCAGGAAGAGCTCAGCTATCACACAGCCCAGCGACCACATGTCTATGGCTTCACAAAACGGCAGGCCCAGAATGATCTCCGGAGCCCTGTGGGGGAACAAACAAGAGGAACAAAGTTAGCCTTCCAAACATCCAGCCTCACAAGCACAACAACAACAACATTATTGTATGGCAACGAGACAGCACATGACATGGTAGGTGTGCTCCAGCGGGTTTAATGTAGTTTATTTCCACTGAACATGGTGGCATGACACAGCAGGGCTGTGGAGCACAACACAGAACAACGTCACTGTTGTATTCACAACAATGGCTGATTTACTTCGGCGTGACTCTACAGGCTCAATGGGTCAAGTGAAGCAGGGAACATGTTTAGAGGAAGGCAGAAGGACCTATGCTGTTTTAAGGTAGGACTGTTCTAGTAACATTAGAACTTGTGCCAAGGATTACCAAGGGCTACCATGGACAGTTGGACAGTTAGGTCTAACATTTATGCATAAGTGCAGTCACTGGCTGCTCCGAGGCAGGAAGCTCCGAGTGCTTAGTGCCAGATCACCGTGGTGATCCCGTTGAGCAGCATTACGGGTGTGCCACGTGACCCTGAGGGTGACGCAGCTCCACTCAGTGCTCATTTGAGTAAGTTGGCCTGACAGCTTGCTGTTACTCAGGTTACGCTGGTGTCTCGTTACAGCCGTAACAGCGGCTCTATATGGACCTCCTACGCAGCTCCATTAGCTGAAGAGGACGGCACCCTGAATTAGACTGAGAACACATGTGCACCGACACAAAGGATGAAACCCAGTAAGCCACAGCCTCCACTGTGTGGAAGGGAGAAGATAAAAGCGCAGCCCTCTTAGGTTTTAATAAATCCACATAACTGAGAGCCTGCTGCTGCGCACACACGTGGCCCACACTAGCTTCCAGCAGCTCCAGCAGCACAAGGGTGGGTTCCACAGCAACAACTATTCATCTGCTCCTCCTCTCAACAACAAGAGGGGGAATGTGTCATTTCTTAATATAAGGCAGTCTCTGGAGTAAGCAGTGAAAATGTCATCAGCCAGGAGTAATTACCAACAATGATGTCATGAGAGTCCACTGGGGCATTTTACATAAAAATAATAATAATGAATAAATAAAGTGAACATCTGAATCAAGTTTGGCTTTACAATGTTTATTTGGGATTTTAATAAACATTTAATGGAGTTTGAAACAATCCTCATAATCTAACAGAGCATAAAACAAAGCAGTAAATACATTAGGCAAGAACTAATATAATACAACAAATATTTCACTTCAAAGTTTCCTGACATCATCAAACCGAGCCTAAGCAAAGGAGTTGATGTAGCAACCATAATCAGACCGATAGTAAACACACAGCACGGGTGAAGGCCAGGAAGGTGTCACATTCCTGTTTTCTGGTGCTGTACTGTACTGTCCCTCACATTCTGAACATCACAGCGAAAGTTTCTCAAACAGAAAAACACACTGGGAGAGCCCTTGGGTATGAGGGACAGCAGAACACAGCAGCCTTCCCCTCTGACCTTTTTCAGAGTGATTTAGATAAGTTCTGTCCCAAGGACCAACTTATAAGTCTCAGATTCTAGAGTCAGTAAATATTTAGTCTCCAAACTGTATAAATGAATAAAACCCATGTAGTACATTTCTACCATTAATATCATTAGCAGCAACAGCAACATATCCAGTTTTACTGTGGTTTATTTCTCTAATAATCATGCTAAGTACTTCATACTTGACAAGATTTTTTTTTATTAACAGTTAAAGAGCTAAGCAGTCTCTCTTACGCCGTCAAAATACATACAAATATAATCAAAGCAATCAAAGAGACTGTGAAAAAGTGAACATCAGGTTGTGTTCTGTGATGAACCGACAGAACAAAAAATCTCTCATGTGGAGCAAATGTATTTTTGCGATTAATAAATCTGAAAACAAGCCGTCTGTGGCTGTTAGATGCATGAAAGTAATTCGATTTGTATAATTAACTTTAGGTTTCCCATTAATGTGTAGTGTGTAAGGTCCAAAATGAGCCCTGATATGTTTTGCTTCAGATCATTCTACGAGAGTGAGAGGTAGATCTCACCACCAGTCGTTGTGCTTTTTAAACTCTTCCAAACACAGAAAGGCTTTCCCTAACAAAACATTTGGCACTAAGATTTTTAATAGTAATATTTTTTAATAAGATTACATCAGTTATTTAAAACAAAAAAGACAATGTATATCTACAATAACAGTAGCTTTAGACTACTTAACATGGCTATGCTTTAGCAGTTTTATTATTTTAAGAAGCAATTTTCAGGCTGTTAAACACAATTTTTTAAACCTATAGCAAGAACTACCAAATTATACCACAAAGTACTGAACTACACTAATTTAGCTTGCAGGTTTCTGATCAGAAAGTATGTTTATTTTCTCCAATTAAAGCAGGCGCTGCAGGTAGTGCGGTGTTACAAAATAAGCTGCCGTGCTTATTTTAAAATAGCAAGACTAATTTAATAGAAAAATCTGAATGCAACAATGCAAATCAATGACGTTAACTGAGCAGAACCTAGGTGGATTTCCCATATCCCAGCATTTTACAGCTATAAAACTCCAAAAACTGCAGAGAAAAACATTATCTACACTATATCATAGGGGTTGACACCTACGCTAACTAGAGTATGCTTGCACATACAAAGAATGAACATTTCCGCCCAATGCCTGTCAAATAATACAGGATATAAATCTCGTTTGTCCTCTATATATCAGCGTGTTCTCCTCATGCTTTAAACTGAAAGAGAAAGAGAATAGAGGGGACAGTCAGAGTAAAAGAGAAACAGAGCCAAAAGAAAAGAAGCCCCCTCTATTTAATTTCCCGGAGAATTCCAAGGACAATCCCTCTGTCGCTCAAACACTGAACCAGCTCATTTAGTGCAGCAGGGACGAGACAATCTGCTGTATTTTTGTGGAAAATAACAGATCGCACCTACCACTTCTTTTGGAAAGGATTACAACAAGCTTTTTCCTTCAACACAACACAATTCAATGCAAGTCAAAATAAAATTATTCCACTTGAAGTATGTGTTCAATGAATTCTCTGAGCAAAAGCAAAAAATGTACTGCCTTTTGAATGAACATGAATTATTACATTTGAATATTTCACTTTGATCCATGGAGTCATCCTCCACTGCCATGTTTACTTAATAGAACACCAGCCATGATATATTTTCCACCATCACCAAGCTGGAGATATACAACACAACAGTCCCAGCAAAGCAGGGATTTAAAGTTCTCCAAGCACACAGCGAATGCTTTTCTGGAGCTGAAGTCCACTAATATAGGCAACGTCTCTCAGTATAGCCTGTTTGACTATTGACATTCATCTACCTTTAGGCGTCAATGGGGAATTCCAACCAATATTTTTTTTCGTTTTTCCCTTTACTGCCTTTCATCTACTGTTAGCAAAACCAAACTGCTTCATGCACTATGCAATTAACACTTCTTTCTACCAAAGCAAAGTCACCAATACAACTGAACTTCTGACTCGCTGGATGATGCAGCTGATGAGTCAACAGTAGACAGTAAAATTCCCTGTGTTTGTAAAGTAGGTTACTTAGAAATTCAAATGTACAAAATGAATCAAGAAAATGAAATGACATCCTTTTGAATTTCCCTTTAGGAAATCACTAAGTGGAGGCACACTTAAGCAGTTTATGTCACTAATGCCAACCAAAGTTTACTTCTATAGAGACTTGTTTTTCAGATTTTGCAAGAAGGAAAGTATTCTTTTATGCACTTGGATCAAGGCTATTAGAACAAGTACAGTCATTCCTAATTAAAACAGGCCATGAACCACCAACAGTCAATGATTCACCTTAATTTAAGTCCTAACAGAGACATGTCCAGTCTTGTCACACCAAGCACCTCTATACCATTGCATTTTACAGTCAAAATAAGGCTATAGCACAGAAGTCTTTCAACCTGCTTAGGGGTCAATCCATGTGAAATGACCAAAGGCCGCCAAACTCACTCTAAGATTTGCTTAAAATAATGTCACCATGCCATATAAGAGTGTTCAAAATTTTTTTACCCTCTTTAGTTTTTTGAGACAGACAAAGAGGCTTTAAAGCACAAACATGGACTAAATTTGTCTTAATGAGCCCATATATACTACTTTTACTGCATTTAATTTTTTTTCTCCTGAAATTCACTTACGACACTCGTGTACCACAAAGAGTCTTACATGACCATTTTCTATCCTCTCTTTATCCCTAATTAAACAAGCTTTAAAGACTGGCTGCCCTGCATTGTGCGTCATTCAGAAAGCGTTCCAGGTCGAAACACTCCTTATAACTTCAGTGTGGGTGTGCTGAGCTAAACTGATGTAGGCTGAATCCTAGATATATTTAAATGCAATGACTCATAAAAATCATTTTAAATGGGCTGTTTCTGGAGCATCATTACCATGTACGCACTCTAGAATGAACTGTATGTCTTGAAACTTTTACCACGTTTACACACCACATCAAATTTTATTTTAAATAAGTGATGAAGTTTTTCATGATATGAGCACATTAAAACGAGTGCTATAAAAAGGCACATATGTTGACAAGTCATTAAATTTGTGGTATTGGTGTAATCAATATTGTTATGTTAAAATATTGTTTTAAGGTGAGTTTAACTACCAAAACAGAAGACACAGATGTGCACATTTGCTATTGCATGGCTTCCAAACACAGCAAACATTATCTGTGCACTGGAGCTGCTTTGGTCTTAGCTTTTGGGAACTTTGACACTGAACTTTGACATTGAACTTTGACATTGAACTTTGACATTGAACTTTGACATTATTTCCTTAAAATATTAAGCATATCTGATGGTCAGAGATGGTCAGTCAGGAACTTTTTCTGAAATCTGGCAAGTTTAGGGAGATTTGCTATTATAACGTACAGAACACTGGCATGGAACCTGCAAAGCTTAAGAAAAGAGATTTACTGAGAATTCAAAAAGTTCATATTTCAAATTAAATAACTCAGTGCCAGCGAAATTCCTGGATCTGACTGAGATTTACAGCCCTGATAGCCTCGCAGAACCAG